GTCAAAACTAATCCAATTTCCATGAGGTTTGGCTTTTTCTGCATGGTTTTCCCTCTAGATTAATTTGGCATTTAAATCTGACTACCCATTTTTTAGTCGAAATTCATGTAAAAATTATATCCTCAATCTCTGCTTTGGGACATGGGTCAAAATTTCCCACTATCATAACTTGGTCAAAATTAATGCGCTTTCTATGAAGTTTGGATTTTTCTTCATGGTTTTCCCTCTAGATCCTTTTTGGCATTAAAATCTGGTCGAAATTTAAGGACTCAGGGAATTAAAAAGTAAAAATATTGAGTACAAGACTTAAGAAATATTTTCTTGTTCTCTGCATTTATGAAATGCAATTTCTTTGCCGTCATTTGCGCAGAGCGCAGACAAAGTTTTGCTGGCAAGTTTTATTTTGGCTCCGCTCCAGGCGCCAGGCCAACATGCCACATGCCACATGCCAGATGCAACATGCAACAGGCAACTTGCAACTGGGAGCTGGCAACTGTCGCCCTGCGGCACTGCAACTTGGTAATTTCTTAAGCCAGGCCGTGACGAACTGCTTCCCAAAGGATTCAGTTGCCCGTTGCGAGAATTCAATTTCCATAATTCAAGCGAACCGAAGCAAGGGCAGAGTTTGCCACGCTTTGTGCCTAAAAATAAACAGCATTAAAAATAGACGTGGCAACAAAACCAAACAAAGCAATAAATAATAATAGCGAGAGTTTTCGGATATAGAGTATCCGACTAGCGCATACCCTGTAGCCAGAGCCAAGTGTTCCCTCAGCCCTACGCTGTGATAAGATAATAAATTAATTGTTTAATAGAAGCTACAGCTCTGTATTAAATTATATTTAAGGAACAGATGGGCAAGGTATACTCAGATATACCTATCGATATACTGTAAGTATCGATAGTCGTCGATATATTATACATATCGCCATTTATCAGTCTACTGTGCTTGGAAAGAGTTATCGATATATAAACACGATGAGGTATGAAGGCCAACATTTCAATATTCAAATATCGATATAGTGAAGTTTATCGATAAGAAGTTATCGAATATATAAAGTTTTCTGCCAAGTCTCTAGCCTAGACAAATCGTCAAGTGCTTGCTTAAAGTCAATCTACCCCATTTTGGGCATTTGCAAAGGGTTTACAGGGTATTGAAAAAAAAAGTGCCGCCAAGGTAAACGACAGGCCGGCGCTCTGCCGCGCTGCTGAGGTCATGCTTATATAAGCCTGCCTGATGACGCGCCTGTCAAACGCCCGCAGCCACCTGCAACCCCCCGCTCGCTACCTCATCTCCACCGAGTACCCCCCTCCACCCATCTAGCCACAGCAGCCTTGCCGCAGCGTCCTCTTGTGCTGTCGCCGCAGCCAACGTCATCGACTGAGCATCCTTTTCCGCTTCCTTTACAAATATTTATATACAGTTTATATATATATTTCCTTTTTTCAGCTTGCACTCGCCTTGGCCTTCGCTCGCTTTCGCATTTGTCTTCGCTTTGGGGCGTGGGTTAGGGTATGCGCCGAGTGCGGCTTGACGCGCCCAACCCAACCTGGGCTGGCATTTAAATATGATTTTATGGCGTCGTTGCGCGTGGCTTTCTAAATCAATGTGGCGTCATGTGTGCCCCCCCCCCCCCCTTTTACCTAGTCCCAAGTCCCTGCATAGATACATTTGTATCTGTATCTTTTGCGCGCGTATCTGTGCGAGTGTGTTGCGCCATAAACACGCATGCGATACATATTTTATGGCTGCAAATGAAATTCACACACACACACACACACACCCCTCTTTTCAAGAGACTGCATACACTCGCGTGCATTTGTTTAGAAACCAAAAGTTTGGCTTTGTTTTGCCAGCAAAGTTGACAGCATGAATCTCATAAATCGCATTGCTATTTTATGTGGCCCAGTTTCGAAAGTTCTCGAAAGACATACCCTATAAAAAAAACAGAAGGCTATATATATGGTTTAATACCTATTTAACATGCTACTCTTAACAGCTTTAAGCTTAACAGAACTGGTTTATGTAAACTTGTTTATGTTGTTTAACATTGTACATTTCAGCTTAAGGATTTTGAACATGAATGGAAGGCTTAGATTCCATGCTTCATTTCATAGTTATTTTCAAATATAATGTTAGTAAGGATAGATTTCACATTTTCACGTGTGGAAAATAGGTGAAAGCGGTCTATCTACGAATTGAAGCACCAAATCTGCCACGCGCATAGCCGGAAAATGGCCGCTGGCCTTATAATATTTGCCGTGTCTTAAATAATGTTCAATAGCAGGAAATTAATTGTGCTTGACAATCAAAATGCCAACGCACAAGAAGAAGAAGAGGAAGACGAAGTAGCATTAAGTGTGGAAAATAAAATGGAAAATGATTTTTCCTAATTAATCATAAATATTCACGTGCTTATTGATTTTCCCATTTGGCATTCTTCAAATGAGTTCGCTGAACCCGTTCTCCACTCCCCCCCCTCCAACCCCCTTTCATGCCATGCCCCCCGCTCTGTATAGCTTATTATGCAACGGTTTAGTTGGCAGCAATAACAGTTATTTCATTGTAATTGCCTTTGGCCGAGCAGCTGGCGTCGCGTTGGCGCCGTCATCCAAACATTTTCCACAAATGACATGAAAAACCAAACCCATCCATCCCATCCCCTCACTTCACCCTCTTGCCCACGCAGCTGCAGCCAACGCTTACGCAATGATTGACAATCTGCAGAGGGTGGGCAAATTGGAAGGGGGCGGGAGGTCGTGCTCTTTTAGGGCTCAGCCAAATGCAATTTTCATTGTTATTTATCACCTGCGTCGTCTGTCGAACCTTTGCGCCGTTTGGCATTAATTAAATTACCAAGTTGAGAGACGGCGTCGACCAAATGACAAACTTGTCCCCTCTTAACTCCCAACCCCCCCAACCCCACGCTCCACTCTTACCTTACACAATGCAATCGTGTGGCCGCCCGCGTGGCGCCCAGCTGCTGTCCTTTAATGGCATTTGTTAATGGGCTGCCGCATTTGTGTTTCTGTCCGCCAGCAAAATGGCAAAATGACGTCGTCTCCTTATGATGCTGATGAGACAGCACCCCGCCTCCACCCCAACCCTCTGGAGAGGTAGAAAGCTGGAGCTGAAGTCGTTGGCTAAATAAGTGCTTATTGCTTGTGATTGAGATCGATTGCGGAAAGCACTAAACAAAAGTGACAAATTCTAAATGGGGACAGTCGCTGGCTAAAGGTCATACAGTTTGAGAGTCACAAGTTGATAGTTTGAGAGCTAAAGGAAATAGTGATGAGATTTAAGCTGAGCTACTTAAAGTGACAAGAACTTTCTTACTTCTATAGCTTCATGGTCACAGTTGAACAATCACAGATTTTACAGTTTGACAGTCACAGTTTGAGAGCTAGACAAAATAGTTAATAGATTAAAGCTGAGTTGATTATAAAATAGCAACGCATCGCTTGGCTTTTATTAGTGAATTAGTTTGACAAGCACATTTTGCCAGGGACCTTTTTATAGTCACAGTATGACAGTCACATCACACAGGCAAAATAAGCTGAGCTAAATATAGGGACAACTTTTCTTTAGATGCGATTTAAAACAAAAAAGGGACTTAGGCTGGGCTGCCTCAAAACTAGCAAAGGGTTATCGAAGGTGTAGAATAAACAAATATACAGTTTGAGAGTCACAGTTTGAAGCATACCCCTGAGGCACACTTGTGCTTAGACAGCACACACTTCTAAAACTACGCAAAGTAAAATGTCATATTCAAGCTTATTAACAAAGCAATGGAATAATTCAAATAATAGATTGTGCATTTCAAACTGTACAGATGGCGATGCACTACAGCGCATTGTTTGTGCAGTCACAATGCTTCAAGTGGCTGCTTTGACAGCAATGACTCTCAAACTGTGTCAAGTGCACAATCGCAAAGTGGGTCACTGCAGCAGTAGGCGGCCGGCTGGAGGAAGGGAAGGGGAAATGGGCGTGACATGGGGGCGGGTGTGGTCTGGCAGTCAAAATGCTCAAAGTGGAATTGGCAGGATAAGGACGCTTATGTAAAGCATTTTATGCAGCTAAAAGGCTTAAGTTGAATCATTTATAGAACTGGGCCATGCACTTGATATACTTAGCTTATCTGTATATATAGACAAGAGTTTGTCCGGACTGACTGACTGACTGACAGACTGAATGATGGACTGACAATATAATGGACTGACTGATTGAATGACTAAATGACTGAATATGTGACTAATTTACTAACTGATTGAACTACTAACTGCATGACTGACCGAATGAATGACTGGATGAATTAATGACCGATTGACTGATTGACTGACGGACTAAGTGAATGGCTGAATGATCGAATAACTGAATGACTGTCTAAACGACTGATTGACGGACTGACTAAATGAATTAATGACTGATTGACTCATTTAATGACTGACTAAACGACTGATTGATGCAGTTACTGTCAGACTGACTGGTTGACTTACTGATTGACAGATGGACTGACTGACTGGCAGACAGACAGAGTGAATGACTGACTGACTGAATAACTGAATGACTGACTGACTCGCTGATGGACTGTCTGAAGGACTGGCTGCCCAAAGGACTGACAGTTTGACGGACTGACTGACGGATTGACTGACTGACTGAATGATTGACTGAATTTCTGACTGCCTAAATGACTAAATAAGTGAATATTTGAGTGATTGATCGTTAATTCATTAACTGACTGACAGATATTTAATTTTAAAATTTGTTTAATTGACTTTAAGATATAAAAATAAAAGATATGTAAATAAAGATTAGGTATTGAGGTTCCTTCTTGATAATTAATATTTGATTAATTAATTGCCGAGTAATTGAAGCGGCTTTTCTCTTGGCCTGAAATCAGCACCAATAATATTAAAATAATATTCATTCGAGCCGGGCAACGCCGGGTACTTTCCTTGAGTAACAAAAGAATGCCTAACATTTGCTTTCCCATTCACAGATGCGCACAATTAGCTTAAACTGACAACAACAACAACAACAATACGTAGAGCAAAAAAATAAGAACAAAGGCAAAAATAAATAAAACTACAGCCAGAATTTACAAGCAAAAGGATAATCACAAAGCACAACGCAGCAAACAAATAATTAAACAAATAATTAAATAAATGCAATTAAAAAAAAAAAAAAAAACGAATAAAAATCAAGCATAAAAAATAAAACAACAATATTTTCAACGTAGCACATCAAAAGCCTTACGAATATTTAAAACAAAGAACAAAAAACAAAAACAAATAGAAAAAAATTTGTGCTGTGCTCTAATTCTAGTCGCAAATAAATTTCAATAAAATATATATACTAAATTAAATTTAAATTAAAATTAAAATTAAAACTAAATAAAATTAAATAATAATTGTAATCATTATTCTTCCACTTCAAACGTTTGAAATGTGTAATTTTTTAATTCAATAACAAATAACAAAAAAAAAAAATACAAAACTAAACAAATTAATTAGACAACAAATTTAGAAGCAACAACAACAACTAAACATACATATATATACATATATACATAGTGCATAGATAAATATATATAAATATATATATATATATATATATATATATATATATTCGAACTTTTAGTAGCGCATTAAAATTTTATTAAAATTAGCAAAAAAGCGTTGTGAATTTAATATTAAAAAACAAATAAGCAAAAAGCAAATAATAAGAAAAGAAAAACAAAAACTATTGTCTATTAGTAGTTTTTAACGGTACATTTTAAATCAAATCTTTTAAACGAGCTTCTAAAACAAGAGAGAAAAAAACACACACACACACATTCACCTTAACCTTAAACGCGGCCCCCTTAAGCCAACAACAACAAACGATTTAGCCTAAAAGCAGGCAACACGAAAATTTATACAAATTCGGCGACGCCAGCTGCGACGCCGACTGCAACGACAACTGCAGCAGCAGCAGCAGCGACCTTGGCGTGCACACATTTGCATTCGGCTATTGGACAATAGAGGGCGCCACGTCATGACAGGAAGTGAGGCCGGCGGCTTACGTGCGATTGTGGCCTTCGCATAACCTTAAGCCCAGAGACGCGCGCTTTCACCTTTTGCCGCGGCTGGCCATTAAAATGCAGGAAATGAGCTACCTGCAGGATAATTCCAAATTGGAGGCACTCACCAAAGCCGTACTCATCTCCATTCTGGGCGTGGCCATAGTCCTATCCAATTTGTTAATTATAGCCACCTATGCGAACTTTAAAGGTGAGTTGCCGCTCCTTCACTTGGGGCAATATTTGGAACGTTTTACGGGGGAAATACCTACACTTAAAGATCTGGGGTATTATACAGAAATGAGATCTGTGAAAAAGTTAGCTTAACTTAAAATTTAAACTTAAATATCTGGTATTCGGCATCGAGAACTCTATTAAGCGTAAAAGTTTTCGTCGCTTCCGAAAGCTACCAATTTTTTTGTTAGCCCTTGCCAAAGAGAAAGGGCTGGTAGATATATTATTAGATAATATGATATAAACAGCTTATATTAAAAAGATTTGGCTCATAATAAGTTTGCAAAGATCTAGACAGACAGACGGAACAGGAATATATATGTTTTATGCAGTCAAAGATATCTCCTTTTGTAAACATTATATTACCCTCTAGAAAAATGCCCTCAATAAACAGCTGTTATCTTAACATAGCTGTTATCTTAACATAACGTTCACTTTAACCTTTTACCATATCTAGAATGTCTTAAGCATGCATTCAAGCTGTTAACTTAACATAATAAGTTTATGTTAACAATTTAGTTGTACTTTCTAGAAAATGCATGCACATTTATCAGCTGTTCTTGTTAGCAGTTGGCTTAACATAATTTCATGTACGTTAAAATGTATTTATTCCTTTCGAAAAGTGTTCATAAAATGCACCCAATTCATTCAGTAGCTGCTTAGCAGATGTTGCCTTTACTTAATTTCTTGTGTAACCTTTATGTTATGCTTTTCAAGAAATTAACATAATTAATTTATGGTAACATTTATGTTATACCTTCTAGAAAAACATGAAAAATGCATGCATTTCATGAAGCTTAACAACTGTTATCTAAGCATAAAAAGCGTATGTTAACATTATTATAATACTCGCTAGCAGTGCTTGGATCATGTTTGTTTTTATGTTATAATAATCTGTTAACATTTACATAAAACATTTTACTCTACAAATACTTCGAAAATGCATGCATGCGATCATATCAGTTGCTCCTAACAGCTGTCAGCTTTACATAATTGTGTTCTGTTAACATTTATGTTATTTGACATTGCAATTGTATGCATTTTACATTCTGCTATGTAGTTGAGCCGCAAGCAAAACGTTCCAAATTCCCCACAGTGCTATGTTGAGTTCGAGATCGAGTTGAGTTTGAGTTTAAGTTGAGTTTGAGTTTAAGTTCGAGCTTGAGTTCGATTTTCAACTTGCATTCCACACAGGTCCCACAGAGGTGATAAACTATTATCTGCTGTCGCTGGCGATTGCCGATCTGCTATGCGGCCTGCTGGTGGTGCCCTTCTCCGTCTACCCGGCGCTGACCGGCGAATGGATGTACGGGGATATCGTTTGCCGTTTCACCGGCTATCTGGAGGTGACGCTGTGGGCCGTATCCGTCTATACGTTCATGTGGATATCGGTGGATCGTTATTTGGCGGTGCGAAAGCCGCTGCGCTACGAGACGGTGCAGACGAAGACGCGGTAAGCGTTAGGCGACTATCGATAGGCAACTATCGACTATCGATAAACTATTGTTTGTATTATCGTTGCAGCTGCCAGTGTTGGATGGTGTTCACATGGATATCGGCCGCATTGCTGTGCTGTCCTCCGATTTTGGGCTATACGCAGCCAATTGAGAACAATTTGTCGCACATTTGCATGCTGGACTGGGGCAATATGGCGGCATATACCGTTACATTGGCAATATTAGTATTAGGTCCCAGCCTCATATCGATAGTACACAATTACGGTTATATATTTGTAATGATGCGTAAGCTAAGATCCGGCGAGCCCATACACGATAAAGAATATGCAACTGCATTGGCTGAAAATTTATCGAACCCTAGTCATATGATGTCATTCGCATTAGTCTTTGCATTCTGGATGTCCTGGCTGCCATGGATACTATTGCGTCTATACGAGGCGGTCATGGGCGAGGTTATCCAAAGTACTCTCATCAATTTTGCGGTCGTCTGGATTGGCATATTGAACTCATTTTGGAAGATCCTTATAATGTCGAGCATGTCGCCGCAATTCCGTATCGCACTGAGAGTATTTTGTTTAACCATTTGCTGTAAGACTAAGGGCAGATTGCAAGCGGAATTAATCGGGTTGGACCCAGATGACTAGAGTCGTTAAATTTTCAAGTATAAATTGGTTGTAAATCGAACAAATGATAAATGAAAAACAAAAAAAAAGCATGCATCTCTGTGTCATTGCCACAAAACATTTACATATAGTTGCGCTCCCCCACAATAACTGAATCGTACTTGCCGCTTGGCCACATAGTTGCATATTTTATGGATCGCCGGAAACGGCTACGCAACACTCCAAGCAAACAGAACTTTAAACTAATTGAAAGACATATTCATTTGTTAGACCGTAAGCTATGTTTGGTAAGAGAGTTTTTTAACATAATTATGTTTCGGATTCGATTGTATTATGTATTGTGTATTTATGAGCTTAACAAAAAAAAAAAACGTATATATTATGTATATGTGTGTATATAGCGTATATGTATACATATCCAGCTATATACCCCTTTAAAATAATAATTAATCTACTTCTATATCATGTTTCAAATTCAAATTCAATTTTCAAAATGGCTGCATTTCCGTTTGCCGTTCCCCTTTCCGTTCCGTTCCGTTCCGTTTCGCTTCGAGCAACAGCTCTTTTGCCTAAAAAAAAAACAAACAGTGTGTACACACATGTGCAAATAACTAGACGCTTGGCGTGTTAGGGGTTTATTCTCTCAAAAAGTCCATATTTAGTAGAATTTAACAAACCAACAATTTATCGATAAATGCCAAAGACAGAGACGGAAGCGTTGTTAGCAAAAAAAAACGTAGTTCCACGCGTTCCGCAAGTTCCGCCAGATCGTATTTCGAACTGTGCACGCTTCAGCGTTAAATTTTGACTCAAATCGAAAATTTAGAAGAAATAAACAAACAGTACTTAAATAAACTGAGTTCGATTTAAGCTCAGCGAAAACGAAACCAACACGAAACACATTTCCAGTAGTTTTTAGCGCAACCTAACTAAATATTAATACAAAACTAAATATTTAGTTTCGACAAGTCAAGTTGTACGTATATATACATATACTATATATGTACACCTAGTTAAACAAGCAAACGAATTGCATACAAATCGTAATATACATAGTTAATATCTTAATATCGTAATATAGTTTAATTTAGCGCCTAGTCAGAGTTAAGTTTGTTTTAATTCACATCATGGATTATATATACACACACATATATATTGTATTTATAGGTTTAATATAATGCTCTTTTTTCGTTTCATTTTCTGCCGCACATGAGCAGAACTTGGCTCAGGTTTCAACAGACTGTTGCGATTTTGCCTAGTTCCCTTAGTGGGTTAAATTCAGTTTCCCCGATCTGGCCCGGGTTGTGCTCATGTATGTTTGTAGTTAAAAAATAGTATGAAACTCTGAAATATGTTATCCACAGTGTATATTATTTCATTGTGCATCAATTTTCAATCATTTTTCAATTCATTTTACAAACGATGTTAAAGATTTTCGTATGTAAGTTAGCGAATTGTAAGCCGGAAGCAGAAACGTGTTAAAAATTATATACATTAATATATGAAATTGAGTGCAGTAAATTAAAAAGTACATGGAAAGGTAAAAAAAACAACCCGTTCTATTAATTTGTTTCAATTCAAATTGCTGCGCCAAATACCAGAAAAAATACCAAACTATCGACTATCGAACAAGTCAGCTGGTATTTGTTTACATTTTCAGGCATATTTAGCGGCGTTTGAGCTGGCAGTAGAAACGATATATCGACAGGCTGCAAAACTATCGCTGTGTTAAAAACACGATGTACATGTACTTTATGCTTGAAATTATGTGAAGAGTTTAAAATATAATAAAAGTTTTTAAAGGCTTAGCAAAAATTTCGTGTGGTACTTTAGGCTTGAGCACAACACTTTTTACACTATTTAATTTTATTTTACCTATTAAGATCGTTTACATTACGATAGTTGGGCGTTGCATTTCAAAGTGTGCGCCTTAAAATATCGCACACACCTAACGATAGTCAGAACTCACGACTCATTATCGATATATCGATAATTACAAAAACAGCTGCTTTTCGCTGCCACCTGCAGTTTGTTTGTTTGGCAAGACTTCTGTTTTTAACAATTAATTTGTAAATGGAGCATCGCGACGGAGATCCCGGCGCCGTGCAATACGGCAATTTCAAGAATTATTATCAATTTAATTCGGCCAGCGAGCGTGTCAAATTGTTGCCCAGCGCAAATATTTGGCTAAAGCAGATGGACCCCAGTTTAAATGTGGAAATAAAGCCCTACCTGGTGCTGGATGTGGGCTGCAATTGCGGCGTCTTCACACAGCTGCTGCACGGCTTTCTAGAGGCGCAGCTGCAGCGGCCGGTGCACATCCTGGGCGTGGACATAGACGAGCGGCTGATCGAACGCGCCCAGCTGGAGAACACGTGCCCCGCGAGAATCAACTACTTTTGCGGCGATGTCCTCAGTGCGGACAGCTTTGATGCAACTGTTGAGAGATTCCTGCAGCAGCAGCAAAGGGCCAAATTTGATGCCATTTGCTGCTACTCGATAACCATGTGGATTCATCTGAATCATCACGACTGCGGCCTGCAGCGCTTTTTGTCCAAGCTATGCGGGCTGGCCGAGCTGTTTGTGGTCGAGCCGCAGCCCTGGAAATGCTATCAGACCGCCGAGCGGCGTCTGAAGCGTGCGGGCGAGACATTCCCCTTGTTCCGGGAGCTCAAGTGGCGCTTGGATGTGGAGCAGCAGATACAAAAGTTTCTGGAGCAGCAGCTGGGACGCCGAAACATATACGAATCCATGCCCACCAAATGGCAGCGAAGGATTTGTTTCTACAGATGACCTAAATTGGCAGCTAGAAAACAGTTTCAATTCAGGAAAACCGCGATCAGGAGCAGAGCACAGCATTAACAGTTGCATGCATGTTATTAACAGCGAATAGAGCGAAGCGACTGCTAACAGTGGCTCTAACTGTTGCATAAATGCTATTAACAGCGGTCTGTTATCAAAGTTCAAAATCCTATTGATATTCTCTTTAGTTTAAAATTAATTAAAATTTAAGTATTAACAGCGGTCTGTTATCAAAGTTCAAAATCTTATTGATATTCTCTTTAGTTTAAAAGGCAATTAACAATAAGAGCAAAAGAAAGCAGATCTAATACAATATATAAGTATATCAATGTACTCTAAAATAATAATAAACCCTCTGCAAGGGTATTAAAAGAAGCATATGTATGCAAGAGCTTTACCTGTTGTTTATATAGCTCCACAATCCTCTCTTTTTCCTATTCTCTTTCTTCCCTTTTCTCTCTCCTTCATTCTGCTGCAGGATGCGCGCCAATTTGTTGTTAGCTGCAAAGCTGAGCGCCAAAAACTAGCGAACACTTAATTTACTTTTAAGGCAGAGAACGGCTGCTGGACTATTACATTTTATATATACACAAAAACACACGATACGCACTACCCGCGTTTATAAACATTTAGTTAAACACAACAAAAAAAAATAGTAAAAAAAATGTAGCACACGCGCAGAAAACACAACCGATCGACAGGACGGGCGCGCACAGACTGAATTGCCTCCCCATAAGTCGCGCCTACGCTAAGCCGGCGTTGACACTAATACAATTGCAATTACTGCTCTCACAAGGCTCGCTGCTCTGGATGCTCACACACGTAACGACCAATGGCGTGCACGCTTGGGCATGTGAATTGTCGCTCTGGCGCTCATTCTGGTCGCTCTCACACATATAACGGGATTCAAAGCAACAATGCCAATATTGTGCCAATATTCAACGAATAAATTAACTCACACAATTTCTACTCTCCGAGTAATGACCCTTGCCAGTGCGTTATCATAAGTTACACATTTAACAAATAATTTAAGAGCTGCACAAGCGTATACGCACTAACTTGCGCTTTTGATTTGAAACACACACACTAACACAATGTTAAAATATATCGATAACTATCGCAACGCAGCTGCACGATATTTGCGTGCAGTGGCGCAATTCAAAAAATCATCGACAACAGTCGCCTATCGCCCGGCCGCCACAATCTGTAGTGAGACAACAACAAATGTGTGAGCGGTTGTCCAGGAACTGCAAAAAGTGAGTTAAATAAAAATAATAATAACATAATATATAAATAGCATAACAACCATAACGAATTGCGTCTTAAGAATTTTGGTTGCGCAAAAAAGAACGACGACAGCAGCAGCAACAACAACAACAACGTGTGAGAAAAAAAAGCGTGCGGCCAATTGAAACTTGTTCTGCTTGTTTGTGTTCTTTTCGCTTGGTTACTTCAACTAATTAGCCAAGCTACTAAATGCTAAAAGCTCATGTATGTATGTGTGTATGCAGCAGTCCTGAAGTTATTCTAGCAAAACACATATCGGTGTGTGTGTGTGTGTGTGTGCGTGCGTGCGTCTGTGTGAAAGCCTATGGCCATAACCTTTGGCCTTCTGTCACTTGTTGTGTGCCCCAAAAGGTGGTAACACCTTTTCGAGGCGCCAACGAAATGAAATTAATTTCAGCTGTTTCCAGTTGAGCGACAGCATAGGAAATACAGAAAAAGCGCTTCCTTTAAGCACGGCTCCAAACGCTCACTGCCCTCCACCTCCTTCCCCCTCGCACACACACACACACACACACACACACACGAACCACCCGCGTTGCTTCAGTTTTTTGTTGCCAGCTGTTGTAGCATCCACTTGGCATCCACAACTAAGGCTCTATGTGCTGAGTGGATGCCATGTTGCACACGTTTGTGGATGCTGACCTGTTGTGATTGGTCGTTGTTGTTGTTGTTGTTGTTGCTGTTGCTTTTGTATGTACGCGCTGGCCAGCTGTTGAGTCTGCTTGGATCCTGTTTAACTCTACAAATAAAACACATACATATGTGTGTGTGTGTGTGCAAGTCTGTCCGTGTATGTGTGTGTGTTAGTGTTCAAAAACGTCATTTGCTTTGGCTTCGTTTGTCTGTATGTATGTATGTATGTATGTATGTGTATACAAATGTACATATATCCTGCAAAATGTCTACCCTGTCGCACCGTGGTGCAAATTGATTGTCCGCCTTTCAATTCATTTCCATCCAACTTGATTAGCATATATAATGATCATTAGATTTTTAGGCAGCATATTTTGTATTATTCTTGCTTATGTTCATTTGGCCAATTTTAGCGCTGCCCACTGTGCGCCTGTGTCACATACGAGACACAGCTGTAAATGTTGTTGTTTTTATTAGCTCTTACCAATCCTTCACCCTGCTCACACACGTACACACATACAGCCGTATATGTATGTGTGCTCATGCACACATATCTGCGCATTAACATCGGCACGTACACACGCTCTAACACCAATACATGGCGAGAGGGTTCGTGTGGACTCCATTTGGCTTTGGCTTCGCTTGGGCACTTGAATTGCCCGTCACCTTCTTCTTCTTCGTCGTCGTCGTCGTCGTCGTCGTCCGCCTTTTCAGTACCTTCGTGCAGCGCAATACGCGCGGTGTGTGTGTGTTTTGGCTCGCGCAGAGTTTCTTATTTGCCGCCCGCTCATTAATTGTTAGTAATCCAGCAAAATAAATATAAAAAGAAGAAAACAGTAAATCTGCATGCATACATAAATAAGCATACAAACATAACACATACATACATAATTAATTGTAAGCACACCAACAACAACAACAACGAGCGTTGCTAACATCTTCTTCTTCTTCTCTACTCCTCTACCCACACTCTTCTCTTTACAGTTTTGCAATATGTTGGCGCAGGTTCAGCGAAAAGTATGAGATGCAAAAATGTTATAAATATAAAATGCTATAAATATGTGAATATTGTGCAGACGCCAAAGCAACTCCAAAATATAAGTGTGTGTACGTGCGTGTATGTGTGTGTGTGTGAGTGTAGCGACCAAAGTGAAAAACGAAAAAAAAAAATAACAGAAAAGAAGTAAAAAGCAAATATGCGCGCATTTTGTGTCTGTATATGGCTGAGCGTCACGCACACAAATCAAATGAAATCCAAACAGAGCAAAGCCAAAAACTCTGCCTAACAACTCCCTTCCCCCCCCCTGCCCAAACTCCTGCTGGCGCTGTTGCTTTTTGGATTTCATTTGACGCCAAACAACCCCCCCCCCCCTCCCTCCCTTCCTCTTCCGTCACTCTTCGAAACACAGCAAAGGCAGAGGATTCTGTTTGATTTACCGTTGCGTTTTGCCATCTGCAGCGCAGAAGCAGCATAAAAAGCAACAACGCAAATTTGAGTATTTATCAATGTTTTGTTTTTGTTTCTCTTTCCAATTATTGCAGCCAGTGCTCAGCGTTTGTGTCTCAAAATATGCATTTTAATAACCGAAAAACAAAATAATTATTAAAAGCAACAAATAATAATTAAAAAAGCAAATATTTAACAAAAAAAAAAAAGAAAACACAATGTGAGCATGTGTAATGTGAAATTTAGAAGTTAAGCGCGAATTGTATGTATTATTTAAATTTCTGTTCAATAAGTTTACATTAAAAAAAAAAAACAAAAATAAAACAAAAAAACGTAACAAAAAGAAAAACTTAAAAAAAAGAAAACTAAAAAAAAAACGTAAAACCGAAAACAAAACGACAAAACAAAAAACAGTAACAACAACAAAAAAAAAACAAAAACGGTCGCAGCAACAACAAGAAGAAGACAACAACAGGACCAAAAAAAAAAAACACCAGAGAGCACGACAGAGCGAGAGCGAGAGAGCGAGGGAGAGAGCAACAAGGTGAGCGCAGCGCGCAGTACACGTTGTTGTTTTTGCTGCTGCTATTCGCGGAGCGAAGGTGCAAAAAGAAGAAGAAGAAAATGTCAACGTTCTTGAACAATTTCTTTCCGGCAGGTAAGTGGCAAAAGAAACCAAAACAAAACACAAACCCAAACAAAAACATGAGCAAAGCAAAACGCAAATGTGTGCGTGTGCGTGTGTGTGTGTGTGTGTGTGTGTGCAATTGAAAGTCACCTTTGGCATAAACTGCCGTTCTCTGTTTGTTGCCTCTTCCCAGCTTTCGTCTGCATTGGAAATGGTAATGGAAATTGAATTGTTTCCAGTCTCATTATTATTGGCAATTACATGCAAACCGGCATGACCATTATTGGAAGGGATCATGGAACGCGCGCGTGTGCGAGCGAGATGGCGCTAGCCAGCATATGCACATTAGCCAACACTTAAGCATAACAGCATCTACTCTGTTATCAAACTACCCCCAAGCGCTGTAATTGCACACACACATACATACACATGTACATAGAATAGAAGAGCGGGCAAGGGAGAGACTGTTTTTCTTGGAATCGATCAATGGAAATTGCAACCCTCGAGCGAACAAGTTCCACTTGTCCTTTGACACTGTGGATGGCTTGATCCTGGCAATACCTGTGCTTGCTTTTTGCTTTAAAAAAAAGAAAGCAACAACAACAACAAAAAATCTAAAGACTTGCCCAACACACATTAAAACCAGTTCCTTGGCTTGGCCGCAACGGCAGCTGACGGAAATACAATGACTTGAAGTGTTGCGACTTCTGGTTTGGTTCTCTGTAGGTGCATTGGGTTACCTGTTGATGTGTTGCCTTTTGTTATTTCTTGTGCCCTGTACCCATTGAAAGTCGCTTAAAGAAGTGGGCATATTGGCTTGATGCACAGGTTTGCGACATATTAGCAAATCGATTAATCGATAAATTGACGGCTGGACGAAGTCGATAGATATCGAGTTCTTAGCACATTCCACATTCCCCAAAGTTAATCGATACTCCCATCTGGCTATCAGGTATTTTTAGTATATACCAAAATTTAAGTACCCTAAAAATTGTATAACGATCGGACAATAAGCAGAGGCATTTTTTAACAATACCTATTCTATAATATAAGTATTGAAATTTCGAAATTCGAAAGAGATTTTTGGTATATACCAAGTTTTAAATACTTCCCTTAAGAGCTGAAATTTGTATAACAATCGGACAATAAAAACAATATTGTACTGAAATTATTTCTAAATCAGTTCAGCTCTCTATACAGGGTATATGCTAGTCGATCCCCATGGACTTGTGCATTCTTGTCGTTTGTTGTTTCGGATCGTATCGCATCGCATCGAGTGCAATTTGAAACTGGTTTCTTGGCTTCCATTTGGCTGCTGGTCTGTTCTCAGAGTTTGGCTTCGTTTTCAGGCGAACCTCTTTTGTGCTACCCTGTCTCGATTGAAGGATGCAAAGTGCAAATTCCCTTCGCTTCTCCCTCAGCTTCGCTCTTTTATTTAGTTACAAAAGAATACGCAAGAATTCAAACATAAATACGAGTGCGTTTCTCTGTTTATTTACCAAGACGCTTCAGTTGTTGCTTTTCCATGTGATTCGGTGTATTTAGACTGGAATCCTCTTCTTTTTTTTTTTGCTTGCGATCAAATGGACATAAACAAAGCTGGAGAACAATTTCTTAACCAAATACTTATACACTGTTGACAAGAGAAATGCCAAGGCTTGTTGAGGATTTTTATGCGCCAGAGAAAGATACATCTTCTATACCCTATAGAGAACGGGATTTAAGTATTTTTTTTCGATACTTTCCCAACAAGAAATTCATTTTGAATTCTTAAGCATAGCTCGAAGATGATTAGATTGGCATGAAGCAGCACAGCAGCTTGTTGCAGAGTGCAGGATATCCCATAGTCGGTCAGTCTCTACAACACCAATTTCACTTGTCTTGATTGTTAGTTTATTAAGCATAGCTCAAAGATTATAAGAGCTAGATACACCCAACTTTAAGGCTCTCAGCAGCTTGGCACTGTGTGCAGGGTATTCCCTAGTCGGTCACACCCGAAAGGAACACTTTAACTTGTCTCATTAGCTGGAACATTAAATGCATAAGATAAGCCTAATTTTTGGGTTCTCGTACAATATGAAGCAGCACTTGGAACTGAGTGC